CGAATACTTTTCATAAATATCTTGATATTTAATCAGCAGAATATTACTATTATTACCGGTGATCTTTATTGATGTAATGAGGATTTGGAATATTTTTATGTTTTATTTTCTATACTAGTATAATACGGTAATACTTGCCAAAATTCATACGTGAACGGAAAACACCCTACGAATTTTGATTGCCTTAAGAGTAAAAAATGTCTCTACCTATGTGGCCGATTCACAAACAAAATCCTATATGGGAATTTCGCCACTGCAAGAAAATCTACAAAATAAAATAGTTAAAAAATGTTTAAATGATGTTTACAGAAAACCCACAAACGCAGATGGATACTTAAATTTCACATCTAATCACAGTATAAGTGTAAAAAAAGGTGTTATAGAAAGTTTATATGATAGGGCAAAAATAATATGTACAGCATTTCACTAAACAGAGACATAAACCACATAACTTACAATTCCATACATACGAGGCGTTTCGGAAAAAATAAGAAGGATAGGAAAACAATATAACATACGAACATCTTTCAAAACACAAAATACACTTAGATCCATTTTATCACATACTAAACCAATGAATACAGAACAACAAACAAAAAATGTAATATACCAAATACCCTGTGAATGCCATAAATTTTCCATTGGCGAAACATCTAGACCCTTAAATGTTAGAATTAAAAAACATAAAGATTATTTAAGAAAGGGTGATTTTCACAAATCTAAGATTTGTCAGCATTCATGGGACACAGGGCACAGAATAAATTTTAATAACGCCAAAATTATAATGAAAGAAGGGATAGCCTCTAAAAGAAAAATAAAAGAGGCTTTTTTAATTCAATCTAATAAAAATAAATGTATTGCTCTTGCATCTGTAGATGTTACTAATGTATTGCAATCGCTTCTTTGATTTTAAAGAACATAACATAAATAAACATAACATACGTAAAATTTAAAAATAATCATACAGAAAGTTTGGGCTTTTTGGTTTTACCTTATTAAGTAATAATTGTTAATTTTGAAGTTTAACTTAATATAATGTCATTTTAACAGAACGTCAACGGTTTCTTGTAGACGTATCTGTTTTAAAAAGTAAAGTGTTCTCGAATAGTTCAATTTAAATATTTTAAATAGTTTTTTTTTCTTTATTCTTTGTATTTTTTTGCTTCCGACGACGGAAAGAGATAAACTTTCAGAAACGTTAAGCGTTTTTTTCTTTGTTAGGCAAATTTTTATAACTGTAAACATAACTTCTGACAAGCAGCGTCCGTTTAGGTTTAACGCAGAAGTGTTTACAAAAAATAACGATTTTATTTTGTAGATTTTTCTTGCAGTGCAGTGGCGAAATACCGATAAAGAATTTTTTGGAGAGATGAATCCGCCACATAGGTATAGACATTTTTTAAAATAGTTATTTTTTGTAAACACTGCTGCATTAATCCAACGGATACTAATTGTCAGCAGTGGTCTACCAATAAACAAATTTGCCTTACGGACAAAAAAATGCTTAGCGTTTCGGAAAGTTTATCTCTTTCCATCGTCGGAAGTAAAAAAATAGGAACAATAAAGAAAAAATATATTTAAAATATTTAAATGCAACTATTCGAGAACACATTGGTTTTTTTTTTAAACAGATACGTCTACAAAAACCGTTGACGTTCGGTTAAAGTAACATTAGGTATATCTAGTTAAACTTAAAAATGTACAATTACCACCTGATAACAACTTCTACAGACGTACCTGATTACTAACTTCTACAGATGCATGAGCAATACATTTATTTTTATTAGATTGTATTAAAAAGCCTCTTTTATTTTTCTTTTAGATGCTATCGCTTCTTTCATTAAAAAATTAAATGATTTAGCTACAAATTGCTTACAAAATCATCAAAATCGGCCCACTAGAACAAAATATATTAAACTTTAAAATACATCAAAATTTTAAGGTTGTAGAAATAAATTAAATTTTCTTATCATCCCCGGTATATAAACGTTATTTTCAATCTACCCACGTATCATTAAATTTGATTCATTGAAGGAAACGATTGAAATTTCGTTATCCTATAATTTTTGAAGACATTACACATTTCTAATTATTGTACGCGCAAAGGAAAAGAACTCGACGACAGAATTGTTGCTAATGATGTACATTTCAGCCATAACGACACTTAGATTTGGGCGACTGTTTTTTACTTTTTTATAAACCTTTATTGGTTAATATCGAAAGTCATTATATATGGACAACAAAAAATATTAGGATTGCACTTACAGACAATTATTTTTGCAAAATTCTTTGGATTTGTTATGGAACATCGTTTAGTTTTCGATTGTACTTTGTTAAGTCTGGTGAAGAATAAAAATGTTTTTGTATTTCGTACAGATTTTTGTTGTATCAGTGAGTGCTTTTCCTACAAGTTGGATTCAGAGAATCAACACGGAATCAAACGTATCACGTGTAAGGATACTTTTTATTGTATTTTTAAACTCACCAATTTTTTTTATTTTAATTTTACATACCGGGTACGTCTCAAAAGTTTCTCACCCCTATAAAATAATTTTCAGATAAAAAAACAAGATTTGGTATATTAGTATATGACATAAATTAGGATTGATTGAAGTATTCAATTCTTTTCGGCCACTTCCTGTTTCACCGAAAATGACTACAACTTTTGATTTTTAAATAGCATCCTCGGTATTTTTTTCTTTATTCGATAGAAAATGACACTCCGAACAGAATGACATATCATACGTCAACGTTTGAGATTTTCGCTTAAAACAAAATTGTATTTTAAAGTTCAATTTAGAGTGCCATCTACTAATTTGTATAGAAGCATAAAATTAAAAAACTTTGCCATGATTTCTTCCGTATATCTCTTAAGCCGGACCTTTGTTATTGGACTACCTTTGCTATTGGTCACTCGTCGCGCCACGTGAACGCCAAGCTTGTAAATTACAAATGAAAAAAATGTTGTTTACAAAGATGGTATACTTGCCATGTACGCAAATATTGGTGTACATGCCAAGTACACGAGTCGTCTTTATGGCTTTATAGTTTTCAGGATGCCAGTGGTAATTCTCAAATTTGGGAAACCCTGTACAGGGTGGGTCAAATTGGACGCTTTTAAAGGGAAACACCCTTTTCTATAATAGATAGACAAAAACTAATATCGGTGTCTGGAGCTCCATTTTTATCAAAAACATGATGGTGAAAACCGCACGTCGATATCTGGTTACCGTTTATGAGTTACGGGGAGTTTTTCAAAAACGTGCATTTTTAACAAATCTCTGTAACTTTTTTGCTATGGAAAATTTTGTATTTTTATGAAAACATTTCCAAAGCACCTTTTTGCCTAGAATTTAATGGTTTAAGTATAATTTTTTCTAAATTAATAATTTAAGAATTATCAACAGAAAATTTGATTTTATATACGGGACACCCTGTATATTTTTAATTCATTAAAAAGAATTTAAAATTACCTTCCGAAAATATAACATACTTGATATTTTGCTCGATTCCTCTTCGAAATATAGAGTTTTTAAAAACTCGCCCACTTTGAATAAGAAGGCTTTGAACCGCGCCGGCTTTAATGCAAAAAAATTATAGCTGTGAGTAGCAATTAAAACGAAAATAATATTTGCAATGAGAGATTTAGAATTTTATAACAATTTAAACTATATTTAATAACATCAACACATTTAAATTATATCTAATAACAATAAAAATTAATAGCAAACCAAGACATGAGATTTTGCTACAGTTATTCGACATGTCGACCGTTTTCTGTTATGGACTGACGGGACCGTTTTTGAACATTTCTCGCGGAATTCATTAACTCCATAGGGTGAAAGATCGCATAACCGCTAAGTACTTCTAATTCTTGTCTAGATTATACAGGCAATTTAAAAATAAGAACCTTTATTCTTTCAGAAAGATAAAAAACAGAGGCACTAAGTCCGGCGGCCTCAATGGCCAACGGCTGGGATCTTGGTTAGCTAATCAATTATTCTGGATATTGGCTGCAAAAATTAGCTGATAACTTCAGCGTTCTGAAACGGTGCCTCGTCTTGCTGGAAAAATATGTTTTCGAGTTCCATTAGGAGCAGATCATCAATAAGGCTCCAAAGCCTACTAGTTAAAAGTGGCGAACTTTTAAAAATTCTGTATTTCGAAGGGGACTATAACAAAATATCAAGTGTGCTATATTTTTGGAAAGGTAATTTTAAGTTCTTTTCATTTAATTAAGAATATACAGGGCGTCCCAAATAAAAAATATTTTTTTTCTGTTGATAACTCTTAAATTATTAATTTTAAAAAAAATATATACTTAAACCATTAAATTCTACGTAAAAAGGTGCTTTAGAAATGTTTTCATAAAAATAGAAAATTTTCCATAGCAAAAAAGTTACAGCGATTTGTTAAAAATGCACATTTTTGAAAACACCCCGTAATTCCGAAACGGTAACAGATATCGATGTGCGGTTTTCACCATGAGCTCCAGACACCAATATTAGTTTTCGTATCTCCTATAGAAAAGGGGTGTTTCCCTTTAAAAGCGTCGAATTTGACCCACCCTGTACATGATTATAATACTTTTATTTCATATTACATAGGAAGCTGACAGTTCCTTGAACAACTATGACGTCGACTTTGCCGATTTGGATATATATTTTAAAAACAACTTGACAGATTTAAAAACTCAGAACTATACAAAGGAAATCATACCCTTTTCAACAGATTTCTCGGATGCGGTAAGTTAGTATTTACTTATTAAAAAAATACAAAACTATTACTTAAAACTAAATAAAACATATACATATATATTTCACACTTAGATTTCTAATTACGTAATCGAGGGCGCGATTTTTAAATTCATTGTTGCCAACCATGGACATATTCAGAGCCAGGCTGACTAACTGCAATTTAAACTTCTCGCTGGGCATTCAGGTGATAGCTCTGCTGTAAAAAATGTCAAGTTGTCACATTTATTTATTTATTTCCTGACATTGTCATTCGTTTTGACACTTTAGTTTTGTATTACGAGTTTTTGGATTAAATGAATTATGTTGTGATACTTGAAGCTTAAAAATGTTTACTAGCATACCTTGCAGTCGAACATTGTTCTTTTTAAAACCTCTTTTAGTGTGAAGTGGGTGCAAGATACCTTAATAGCCGTAAAAAACTCATCACAACTTTATTAGAATATTTTAACAGGAAAGCGGTAGTAATGACCCTTTATGTCCCTTAAGTGCTCTTAAAAAGGTGAGTTTTGTTGATGTAAATAGTAACTGTTTATATATTAATAAATAATTTATTTTTGTTTTCTAAAATATTTTGATTAAAACAAAATATATAAAAGAGGGCAACGCTGTGCCGGTCAAGCTTAATCACGTGACTAAAAGTTTATTTGATATAAACTGTAAAAGATTATCACACATTAGATTTCAGAAATATTTTCCAGATTTTTATACGAAAAGCAAAATATAGCACAGGGTGTCCCACTTAAGATTGATACAAGCCAATATCTTGGTTGTTTGTTGAGCGATCTTTTTCATTTTTGGCAGGAGGCTGTATGGCTATAAGACGTACATTTTGCCCAGGGTAAGAAATGCGATACCTCATAGACGTACATTTTAATGGGGTTTGATATTTTTCGAGTCAAGAGTAAACTACCCTTAGGACAGTATTTATTTCAAATCTGATAAATTATATTGAATCCTCCTTAGCTAAGATACTTAAGTTCTAATTTTGATAAATATTGATACAGGGTGCGTCATTAAAATAAGGCATTTTTATTTTTATTATTATTTTTTTAAGTACTTACGACGCCACTGGATAAACAGCAGGTTTATTATCAATAACCAATTATAACCAATTATCAATTAATAATCGATTTAAGTTTTCAGATAGCTTCCATAATAATTAAGATACGATACAAAAAAAATAAATATTTTCAATTAATTTTGTTTACTTTAAAAAATTGTTTTTTAAGTTTGCTAATACAAATGAATAAAATGAGTTACAAAGTAATTTAAAAACCGAGTTTTCAATGGAATCTGATATATGATTTTTATTCCTTTTATTAAAGAATATTTTAAAAATCCAAATAGTTATTTAAAACAATCAATTTTAACTTTGAAAAATATGCTCTAAACAAAGATTTATAAAACTATAACGAACTAAAAGTCAACATCTTCGACCAAACCACCATAAAACAACGATTAATTGGTTATAATTGGTTATTGATAATAAACCAGTTGTTTATTCAGTGGCTTCGGAAGTACTTAAAAAATAATAATAAAAATAAAAATGTCTTATTTTAATGACACACCTTGTATCAATACTTATGAAAATTAGAACTTAAATATTTAGGTAAGGAGGATTCAATATAATTTATCAGATTTAAAATAAATACTGTTTTAAGGGTAGTTTACTCTTTACTCGAAAAATATCAAACCCCATTAAAACGTACGTCTATGAGGTCTCGCATTTCTTACCCTGGGCAAAATGTACGTCTTATAGCCATACAGCCTCCTGCCAAAAATGAAAAAGATCGCTCAACAAACAATCAAGATATTGGCTTGTATCCATCTTAGGTGGGCCACCCTGTATATTGTTAAATTAAAATATAGCTATAGCAAAAATTTGTCCAGGCTATAAGCTAGTTATCTAATAAAATGTGTAATACAACAAATTTCAATACAGTTACAACAACGACAATTACGTACGATATCAGACGCATTACATTTTGTAAGATCCAAATGAAGAATAATGTCTGGGTCATAGGCCATACATTTTCCATTATCATTCTAACCTAATGAACCAATATACAGTCTTTTTTTATCTTTCCACTCAATTGCTGCGGATATATTAACACTTTTCTTACCCAACGAGGTGCGTTGCAACTGCAGTTAATATTTTACGAGTTCATTATGGGAAATTTATCAAATTTATCACCGGGTGTTGCTAAATTTTCGCCAATTCGACGAAAGTAGGACCCATTGCGTATGTAACATAGGTCTAATTCGTCCCAATTTAGTCTAATCGGAGTTTTTTTTTAAATTGCCGGGTTATTCAATATGAAGATCGTGCTTTCGACATGCTTTTGGTAATTATTGATAAGTGAAAATGGTATTTAGGCTGTTAGGACACGAGGCATGTCATTTTAGGTCGTTTCGTCAGAATTAGATATTTTTTTTTCTTATTAATAGTCTTACAATAAAGTACATTTTAAAAAATAATCGTAAATATAATATATAATATTAATATACAGGGTGGTCCGAACTGTATTCCGGAAACTTCGGCAGCATATTCTGCAGATAAAAATAAGTAAAAAAGTTTGTATAAACGTATGTCTTAAAATGCTTAGTTTCGGAGATACAGGGTGTAGAAGTTTCATTTTTATTTCGATTTTTTCCAAATAATTTCTGAAATCACGTCAATATTTGGACGAAAATTGGTGTATGGGAGTTTTTTAACATGAGAAATTTGGATTTTGATGTCAATATGACTCCTACTTGTAGAGGGCGCCACCTACATATTTTTTAACTGGTTTCAAGAGTAATAACTTTTCGTCCGTACCTGTATGAAACTACTGAGTTAAAAAAATACACATTTACGACATTTTTTACATAAAAAATATCTCTTGGCCAAAAATCGCTACGAGTAATGGTTCTCGAGGTATTTGGAATCGAAATTATCAATACCTGTCATCACTGACATAAATTAAACATGTTGACTAAATAGTTATTAGACTGAAATCATAAATTTGAAATGTTTTATGCAAAAAGTTCAACAGAAACTGTTTTATCATCATTTTTTCGAGAAAAAAATTATATATGATTTAAAAAATAAAAATTTCCCAAATTTATTTTTTCAGTCAAATAATAATTACCTATTCGACGTGTTTATTTTATGTTTAAGAGACATTTTTTACGTAAAAAGTCACAGAAATGTATATTTTTCAGTAGTTTTATATAACCACTAAGTAGTTTTATACAGGTACGGACGAAAAATTATTGCTCCTCAAAATAGTTAAAACGTATGCAGGTGTCGTCCCCTACAAATAGGAGTCATATTGACATCAAAATCAAATTTCTCATGTCAAAAAATTACAAGACACAAATATTGACGTTACTTCAGAAATTATTTCGAAAAAATCGAAATAGAAATGAAACTTCTACACCCTGTATCTCCCAAACTAAGCGTTTTAGGACATACATTTATACGAACTTTTTTACTTATTTTTATCTGCAAAATATGCTGCCGAAGTTTCCGGAATACAGTTCGGCCCACCCTGTATAATAAAGGTCAAATGATTTAAGTCTTAAGTCTTTGACTTAAATCATTTTATTTCGAATCAAGTCATTTTTGTCAAGACTTAAATCAATATAACGTTATTTAAGTCGTTTTTATGACTTAAGTCTATATTTTTGACTTAAATCATGATGATCTGCAAGTTAAGTCAGTAAAATGACTTAAATCAATATAATTACCCTCAAGTTAAGACAACCAAAATTAAATTTTTTATTAAATTTTAATATATTAATTTTCCTTTATTGTAGCGATTTGTTTATTATTGGTTATTGTTGATTGTATGTATAGCGATTTTCTTACTAGTATCATAATATTAATTTATTGTAGGTACAGATGAGGACTAAAAGACTGCTTACAGTTTAAAAAGAAATTCATAAAAATTTATATAAATATCTGACTTAAGCGTTTTTTAAAAAGACTTAATTTTTTTAATGGCTTTATAAAAAGACTTAAATCTGTTTCTATTTCTGAAAAAGGATTTAAATCACAAGTCATTTTGAAAAAGACTTAAGTTTTAAGTCTTAAGTCAGCTTTCGACACTGAACCAAAAGTCGACATAAATATAATGAAAAAGTTCATTAATATAATGAATTAAATCATTAATTTTGAGCCGATGAACGATTTCATTGGCACAATGAAAAGTAATTCATTAACTCTATGAACTTTAAGTTCATTAAATCAATGAACAGTGTTCATTAATTTGAAGAACACATTCATTGGTGCAATGAACAGATTTCATTAATATAATGTACCTAAATCCTTATATTAATGAACCATATCATTAATACAATGAAATAATTTCATTACCTGTTTAGTTATACATTTAAAAGTCGACACTATTAGTAACTCTTGTTACACCATATAATCGATGATGAAGATCGCTGTCATTGATATGAAATGTCATCGATAGTCATTTCCCAGCCAACTACCTACTAATAATTCTACTATAAATAGATTTCCATTTGAACAAGCCCTTAGCTACAAAGGTAACAAAATTACTAATAGTGCCGACTTCAGTAAATTTTTCCATTAGAGATTATTAATAAAAAACAAGTGCAATAAACTAATAGTAATTTATTAAACTCGATATAGCATATACAAATTAAAAATAAAAAAATCGAATCGACGAAGAGAATAGTAATGTTATTATCAATTTTAGGGTAAATTATAATCAGAAAATTAATTTACCAGTCGATATCCTGAGGGATTTCTATAAAAAGACCATTTCTTCATTATATTAGCTGTATCCTTAGACTTGATAACGTCTAGACGAATTTGCAACAGGCTCTCCAAGTAGCATCAAGTGGGTCCGATATTAAATTGTCGAATTTGAGGGCTTGAACGCAGGTCTCAACATCTTCTTCCGGTTCTAAAAGACGTATAAATAATTAAAATGCCAAATATTAAAAGAACATTCGAATTTACCATAATCAGTTCCATGCCTCGACTTGTTACTATGTTTTTCTTCTTTTTGTTTTTATCTTCTGAAACATATTTGGAAACCGCTGTTTTAATGAATACCCACACCAGAGATCTCACACAGCGGAATTTGATTTGACAACACAACAAATTAACTACAATACGATAGGATTTTTATTTAAAATATTGAAGAGAGCACTTACCGCTCTAATGAAACTAAAGCCTCACTGAATAACTCAACCACACAGACGTTATTAAAGTGCCAAAGTAACCGATCAACATGGCGGACATTTA